CTTAACCCAATTTTAATCTAGATAACTTATGCCCCAATAATATCTGAGACATAAAAATGACAAAGAAAGGCCATGAGGTGTTTAGTTAAGACTGACTGAACAATTCAGCTCTCCTTATTACCATATAATCACAATTCTTTCTTTCTTTTTTTTTAATCATACTTTAAGTTCTAGGGTACATGTGCACGATGTGCAGGTTTGTTACATATGTATACATGTGCCATGTTGGTGTGCTGCACCCATTAACTTGTCATTTACATTAGGTATATCTCCTAATGCTATTCCTCCCTCCTACCCCCATCTCATGACAGGCCCCAGTGTGTGATGTTCCCCACCCTGTGTCCAAGTGTTCTCATTGTTCAATTCCCACCTATGAGTGAGAACATGCAGTGTTGGTTTTCTGTCCTTGCAATAGTTTGCCCAGATGATGGTTTCCAGCTGCATCCATGTCCCTGCAAAGGACATGAACTCATCCTTTTTTATGGCTGCATAGTATTCCATGGTGTATATGTGCCACATTTTCTTAATCTAGTCTATCATTGATGGACATTTGGGTTGGTTCCAAGTCTTTGCTATTGTGAATAGTGGCACAATAAACATACATGTGCATGTATCTTTATAGCAGCGTGATTTATAATCCTTTGGGTATATACCCAGTAATGGGATGGCTGGGTCAAATGGTATTTCTAGTTCTAGATCCTTGAAGAATCACCACACTGTCTTCCACAATGGTTGAACTAGTTTACAGTCCTACCAACAGTGTAAAAGCGTTCCTCTGTCTCCACATCCTCTCCAGCACCTGTTGTTTCCTGACTTTTTAATGATCACCATTCTAAATGGTGTGAGATGGTATCTCATTGTGGTTTTAATTTGCGTTTCTCTGATGGTCAGTGATGATGAGCATTTTTTCATGTGTCTGTTGGCTGCATAAATGTCTTCTTTTGATAAGTGTCTGTTCATATCCTTTGCCCACTTTTTGATGGGGTCCATGCTCATGGATAGGAAGAATCAATATAGTGAAAATGGCCATATTGCCAAGGTAATTTATAGATTCAATGCCATTTCCATCAAGCTACCAATGACTTTCTTCACAGAATTGGAAAAAAAAAACTGCTTTAAAGTTCATATGGAACCAAAAAAGAGCCCACATTGCCAAGACAATCCTAAGCCAAAAGAACAAAGCTGGAGGCATCACGCTACCTGACTTCAAACTACACTACAAGGGTACAGTAACCAAAACTGCACGGTACTGGTACCAAAACAGAGATATAGACCAATGGAACAGAACAGAGCCTTCGGAAATAATACCACACATCTACAACCATCTGATCTTTGACAAAAACAAGAAATGGGGAAAGGATTCCTTATTTAATAAATGGTGCTGGGAAAACTGGCTAGCCATATGTAGAAAGCTGAAACTGGATCCCTCCCTTACACCTTATACAAAAATTAATTCAAGATGGATTAAAGACTTAAATGTTAGACCTAAAACTGTAAAAATCCCAGAAGAAAACTAGGCAATACCATTCAGGCCACAGGCACGGGCAAGGACTTCACGACTAAAACACCAAAGGCAATGGCAACAAAAGCCAAAATTGACAAATGGGATCTAATTAAACTAAAGAGCTTCTGCACAGCAAAAGAAACTACCATCAGAGTGAACAGACAACCTACAGAATGGGAGAAAATTTTTGCAATCTACTCATCTGACAAAGGGCTAATATCTAGAACTTACAAAGAACTTAAACATATAATCACATTTCTCATCTTTATGAGATGTTTCTTTGGAAGCTGTGGGTGTTGCCGACAATCTGGAACATCCATCATGTTTAGTTTTGGAAGAGAAGTAAAATATAATGATGGGATGCATGTATTCACATGGATATTCTTAAGGGGCCTAGCCTTACAATTCTTAGAAAATTAACTGTTTAAGCTCTTATACTCTGAACTGGGCATTGATGGATTAAATAATTAATAAAAATTGAATACTTAATAAAAATTCAGAATTTAGAAAAGACATTTGTGAATGTGCTACTGAATAAGTCTGAGCCAAAGGTTTGGATGAAAATGTGGGCTCACCCAGATTAGCAGTGCTAGACACTGGTAAATTAAGTTTCAACATTTATAGTTCATCTTGGCAGCTGCTCATGTCCTGATGTCATGCAGCCATGATGTAAGCGAGAAAGAGTGATGTTTTGCAATAGAGGGATTTTGGTAACCCTTCCCATGAGTGTGGGTTGCAGGATATCAATATGTATATCACTTCAGAGAAAGCATGTTACATTTTGTAATGCAGAGACATTAAATGGCTTCCTTATGGTCCTCTGCATAGATGAATCGTCTTCATGTTTAAATCAAAAGCTTAAATTGCTGATGTTTGTTATTTTCTTATGACTTTTTTCTCAATTAAATATAATGAATGGAAATCTTGACATTACCAAAATGAACATGTTAAAATTAAAGGATTAGATTCATATTGTGCCAGGAAAGACTAAAAGATGAACTAAGTTATAATTTCATCCTTTTCAAACTTTATGAAAACACAACTATACGAAAAGTTACCTTGGGAAATATAATATAATGAATATAAGAATATAATGACAAGCATTGCAATTACTTTTTTTGCAAATTTACTGACTCCAGGATGGCTGAGATTATTTTCTGTGCCCCGTCCTCATTATACTCTGAAATGCTAAATAATAAAGCACTCATGAATACTGATGACTTAAAAATGTGTTCTCAAATAATTGAAGGATAGACAAAGGGAAGAGACAAAATGGGGAATGAAAGAAATTGATGAACCTCTTGGCTAGTGTAATGCAGTTAAAGATGCCAGAAACATGTTGGCATTTGTTTCCTAAATAATCCACCCCCAATTAATGATACATTGATTGATAGCTGAAAGTGTAGTTCTGAAGCACAAACTTTACTGAAAGGCTCTTTTTAGGGTCTTCTTGCATATAGAAAAAAAAATGAAACAATTTCCAAATATCTTATACTTATGCATTTTCCCACTTAAGTTCTGCTTAGGTACTTAAATATTACCAGATGTGGCTCTAGCTCCATAGGAATGTCAGAAATGCCTTCCTACAAAATTAATGCTAGGAACTACAGGATCACAAGATTGTTTTATATGAAATATCATAAACAGATGGTTATCACAAGCCACACTCTGAGTTTCTATACAATCTCACAGGCTAGATTTTATGTTGTTAAATAAGTGCTATTCTATAGATGAAAAAAGTTGAATCTCTGTATTTGTTTTGGTTAACATTTTGGTTTTGCAACCTGAGGATTTTAATTCTCTTCCTGATGTTCTAATTTTAATTATATTGTGTTTGTAATTTATAAGTATTTATAGACAACAAATATTTATAATCTTTAAAGTTATCACCCCTCCAGACTCCAGCATTAATTTCTTTCTCCTTTTATCAGGAGGCAGTTCTTAATTAATTAAAGGCAATCCTGTATTATTTCTTCCCATACTCTCCCCAGCTATTTTACATCTTTTTGAAATACTCAGGAAGAGAATCGCTTTCTAGGTGTGGTCTGTCACTGGAGTCATTGGGAGGAAACTTCAATTCTCCACTCCTTGGTATGATGTAAGCTTTGCATACTGTGTGAAAACATTCAGAAAGTGCTGACTGCAGTCCATTTGCATTAAATTCCTTCTGAAGGAAAAACAAAACAAGTTAAATACCTTCTACACAAAGGGAAGCAGAATTTTAAGTTTGGTTTAGGAATGAATGAAAAGTTATAATTTAATGTAAATGAAAGGCTTGTTGCTGGACTGTCATTGCAAGAATAGTCAAGTTTGATCCTGTTTTCACCACTCATGATCAAAATTGTCTTGCTTATCTACATCACAAATGGAAAAAAAAAGAGTCCATTGTTTTAGATTGAATCTTAAAAAATGATAGCTATTATTACTCTTTAATATTTTATATTTCCTTCAAAAATAAATTATTTCACAAACTAAACACTAAAATATACACCTTAGATAATATCGAGTGGTGTGTTTCAGGGTTAGAGGTGGGGTTGAGGTCCATCTCGATATACTGATGTTGAGGATCTCACCGGCAATGCACATTTGGAAAAACATTTCCTTATTCCACTGTCAAGTTTTAGAGCTACCAGGGCCTTGTAGAAAATGAAACCAAAGCCCAAATAAATTAAGCAACCTGCATATGACTGTTTGAATTAAGTGGCAGAAATATAACTAAGAGGAAGGATACTGATTTTTTTTTTTTTTCAGATGGAGTTTCGTTCTTGTCGCCCAGGTTGGAGCGCAGGGTGGCCATCTCGGCTTACTACAACCTCTGCCTCCCAGGTTCAAGCGATTCTCTTGTGTTAGCCTCCACAGTAGCTGGGATTACAGGCATGCACCACCACACCCAGCTAATTTTTGTATTTTTAGTAGAGATGGGGTTTTACCATGTTGGCCAGGCTGGTCTCAAACTCTTGACCTCAGGTGATCCATCCGCCTCGGCCTTCGAAAGTGCTGGGATTGGCCGGGCGCGGTGGCTCAAGCCTGTAATCCCAGCACTTTGGGAGGCCGAGACGGGTGGATCACGAGGTCAGGAGATCGAGACCATCCTGGCGAACACCGTGAAACCCCGTCTCTACTAAAAAATACAAAAAACTAGCCGGGCGAGGTGGCGGGCGCCTGTAGTCCCAGCTACTCGGGAGGCTGAGGCAGGAGAATGGCGTAAACCTGGGAGGCGGAGCTTGCAGTGAGCTGAGATCTGGCCACTGCACTCCAGCCCGGGCTACAGAGCGAGACTCTGTCTCAAAAAAAAAAAAAAAAAAAAAAAAAAAGAAAGTGCTGGGATTACAGGCGTGAAACACTGCGCTTGGCCTGGATACTGATTCTTATTATTTTGACTGTTACTCCATTTTTTTTCCCTCTCCCTCTTATGTGCAAATCTGTTAACAAGTGTTCAAAAATGATAAAGAAAGTTTCCACATGCTGTGGTCTGGTGAAATAATTCTATATCCTGTTTTCAGTTTCTATTTTAGGGCCAATTGTAGACTTTTATTCAGTAGGAGAGTTCTAGGATCTCGGTCCAAATGAATCGGTCACCGGGTAATTCCACTGATAACTGGAGGAAGTGATGACCAAAAGCATTAGGGACCAGTGAGTCCAACACAAAGTTTTATAATCCATGTAGAAATGGAAATGCTTTGCCTACTCCAGGCTCGATATCCAGATAGCTTCAGTCTTCAGAAACTCTAGTTTATTCCATATTTTACATATAAAGGCTGTATGTTGTTACAAGCTGTGTATGATTTGTATTTGCCTTGGAATTTCCATTCTGTTTTCAGTGGCTTAGATTTAAGACACATGTTTGGTTCACTGGAGGTACCTTAACACTGATTTCATTCTAAAAGCTGACATCACATTCTTTTAGACACCATGAAAACAACAAGTTTGGGATAAGGTTCATTGAGCAAATAGAATTAGGTCCATCTAGGTGGTAAAAAATGCTGGGTAGTAAGAACATGAAGAACCCAAGCAAGGCATTGCTTTGGCTTGCTGCAAAGTTGATTATTATTCCCATGAAAATTCACATCTGACACAGCCAGGGACATGAAACTCAGTCTTTCTGTAGTGAGAATAATAACCACACAACAACAAAAACCCAGAGTGAAACAATGAACTTGACTTCTGTCACCGCAGCTTGTTCACTTGGCTTCCATCACTCCTTAAGGATGGCAAAGTCTAAAGGCCAACGCTGAAGTTTATCTTCTCAATTCATTGTGATCCCAACTTTCGTTATTTTCGAGTCTAGTCAGCTTGACAAGTTTTGTTGTTTCATGTGAAAACTTTAATTTTGAGCTCACTGATCTCTACAGATGCCTTGATGAAAATTCTTCACAAAGGCCTCACAGCGGTCGTCTTTCTCCAGAACAGACATTGTAAGGTGATTTCAATTTTAGACACCTGAAACAGAGCATTGGTTTCCATATGAATTTGACTGTGGTTCATATAGGTCATTGAAGCTTACATAAATGCACCCTGCAGCAGTTGCTCTTGGTGTCCCTCCCAGATCGCCTTTACCCATTGGTCAACCCATCCCTCAGCAGCTGTGGGCATTAACAGGCTCATTGGCAGCAGTCTTCTCCCAGGGTCTGCGCATGGCCAACTGAGTGCCCTGGCAGGAGATTGCTGGGAGATTACAAGCCCCTGTTCCTTACCCCACATGAGTCCATGATTGAATAATATGGGATATTGAAATCCAGATGCCTCTTCTCCTTGCGAGAAGTCTACACTGCTATTCACATTCTAGATCTCCCTGTGGAATCAGACTGGGGCTACACTTCAGTTAAAGCCACATCTTTGCTTAGCTTCTTCTTGTGCTCCATCTGCTTTCCTTACTTTATTACGGGTTTCACCTAAAATAAAGGTAGAGTACTCCCTCAACCAATCATATGCACAGCAATTTCCATCTGAAGGCTCTGCTCCTAGGAAATCTGACCTCAGAGAGCCACCTTAGTAATGTGGAAAAGTCTTACCTCCTCCTCCTCCTCCTCCTTATTATTACATTTCTTGGTCTGTTAGGCAAATCTACAACTGATATAATATAGATTTGATTCTCTCTAAGATGTATTTGTTAAGCAAAATAAACTTTTCTAATTTTGAACAGGCAGTTTTGGTCATTCAGAAATGACAACTTTTTAGAGTACAGCAAGGGAAATGATGTATTTGTATTTTTTTGTTAGGGTATCTCACTTTATTTCTTGACTTTATCCTAGTTACACGGATTTAAGGAAAAATTACTTATGTGGAAAAAAACAAGAATTAAGAATGAATATGTAAATAATTACAATTATTTGTAGATTATCTTCTTAGGTTTTTAGCAAAAGACAGTATCTTCTGAAGATACCCCCAGTTGATGTCTGGGAAGAAATGGCCAGTGTTTGTCACACATTTTTATTCAGTTTTTACTTGTTTCTTAATTTTATTTCACTCAGCAAATATTTACTCAGAGTGTGTTGTGTGCTAGGCATAGTGTAAGGCACTGAATACACAATTTTGAACAAGATATACTTAGTCTCTACTTTCTTGGGGCCTGCTGTCCTCGTCATTTATAATTTTAATGTGGGCAGACAGAGATAGGATGAAGGGAGACTGTACTTTTAAACTCTCCTATTACAACTGAAGCAAATTTTACCACTCATCTGGGTTTATGAGAAAAGGCATGAAAAATATTACATAGAAACTTTTTGCCAGATTTACAGCTCTTTTTTAATTAAAAAAAAATTTACATGTCAATTCCTGGCACATTATAGAGGCTGAATAAATATTTGTCAAACGAATGCATATGAAGTGACTTCATATTTTGTCTTTTTCATACCTTTTTCTTATATAGCAGTAAAAAATAACAAGAAAACCACTTAATAGTAATCCAACACCAATCCCAATTGCAATGTATTTTTCATAAGAATCCACAGCATATGAAGTTAAAGTCAAGTGCTCACACCTTTCTCCAGTATAACCAGTAAAACACCTTTAAAAAAAGAAAAAAAGTTTAATTTTAAAACCTATGGTGGTAGAAATACAAATAAATAACCTGTTTCAATAAATTTAAAAAAATAAATGGAAATAAGGAATTTAATTTGAAGAGGCAAATACCAAATGAAAGCCAATCTGTTAAGGGCAATGAAGCAGCTGTGAATTTTCCAATAATCATGAAGGCCCCATATTTTCCCTTCATTAGTAGAGGGAAAAGGTAGTATGCTTGCACAATTTACTCTAGCAAAATCATTAGTCTATTCTTCCATAGGAGAATACTGAGCAAATCATGATCATAAAAATAGTATCTTAGTTGCTCTAGAACTTCATATTCCTGTAATGTTTTTGCCTTAGTTTCCTTCATTTCATCTTGAAAACAACTCCAAAACTTAAAATCACCTTTGCATGTTGTTAAAAATGCAGATTCTGATTCAGTAGTTCTGGGGTAGAGCATAGATCCTGCATTTCTAAAAAGCACCAGGTTCAAGAGATGCTGCTAATCTGGCAACCATGTTTTTAACTAATGAGGATTAAATAGTTTAGACAAAAGACTCCTTAGATACTCAAATATGTAGAGGCCTGTCAAGTCATGTTCAGATTATGCACCCTTTTAAACTAAAGAGAGAAAAGTGTGGAAATGTACTATATGAAACAACAGAGGCATAAAATCATCTCCTGTCTCTAGGACTTGGAAAGTTCTTTGCGTTTACCTGCAGATGGCTTTCTCTAGTTCATGGTGGAATGCACAAGCACCATTGATGCAGTAACTGTTATGATCTTCCAGGCAAAGGTGCGAGAACTTCAAGGCTATGGGTCCTTCTACGTTGTCAGCTAGGAAAAGGAGATACAATATTAGCAAATGAAATGTGTCTTACTTTTATGGTAAAATTTTAATACATATGTAAATAAATTTTTAATTTTAAGGATATTTGGGGGTGGTGCTGTGTCCTTTAAACTACTGATTCTCTTAGCAGGTTGTATTCACAAGGGCTGGGTTAATATCATCTAGACATATGACATATTATTAATTAATTAGGGGATGGAGGTGGATTGATGATTGTTTCATTTTTTAAAGCAGCGTGGTAAGACAGAAAAGGCAACAAATTCGCCAAAAGGTGGCAGCATTGGTTCTAGTCTTAGCAGGTTATTATGAGCAATGCTTCCCAGACTTGTGCCTGAGTACTAATTAATATAGAAGGTCTCACATAATATTTCCATTTTCTTCCTTTACACCTGAGAAGTCAGCACTTGGGAAGATTTGAATTTACACTTGTGAGATAATAAACAAGATTCTTATTCCTGATTCTCTGATGTACAAAAGACATACCTAGGCCATTGTTGGTGTTTATGCAGTGGGAATGACCCTTGGGTAAAATTGCATAATTGAGTCCTTTGGGGTATACTTTTTGATTCTTAAATTTTTCTCAAGCAGAATCAATGGCAGTTTACTTGTCATTTTTAGAAATAAACGTATTTCCTCATCATTATGATAAAGGTACACCATATTTGCCTTGCTAAGATTAGGCGAATCTTACTTGTTTTTAGGGAAAAAACAGTTTTAAGAGGCATTCGAAGATTACAGACAAGATACTATGCTGTATTACTTTATTTTGGTGAGAACACACATTACCTTCTAATTCACATTCATTTTGTTGAATAGGATGAATACAATTTATCATTTTAATAATTAATTCTCAGGCAGTGAGAATTTTCCATTATAAACTGTGCTGGGTGCTTTCTATTTCAAGACTAAACAAGTTCGATTAACTAAGCCTGAAACTAGATTTTGCAGAAAAATGTGAGAATTAAGCCATTTCTGAAGAAAAGTTATACCAGAGAGACTCATCTTTCCCCTAAGAATGAGGAGAATGATCATAACTTTATAAAAATTTTTCTAAGATACTAGATTGATATTTTTAAGTTAGATAAAAAGCAAAAGGAAAAATTAAAGTTCTCCATCAAGAAAGTAAAGGAAAAATACAGAAATGATATACAGTTGTACCTCCATATTCATAGGCTCCACATCTGTGAATTCAACCAAACTCATATGGAAAATATTTGAAAAAAAAAGCATCTGTACATAACATGTACAGACTTCTTTTCTTGTCATTATTCCCTAAACAATGCAGTATAACAACTATTTATATGGTGTTTACAATGTTTTAGGCATAACTAATCAAGGGATGATTTAAAGTACATGGGTGTGTGTCTATAGGTTATATGCAAATATTCTGCTATTTTATATAAGGGATTTGAGCATCTGTGGATTTTGGTACCCTCTGGGCAGGAAGAAGAGGTCTTGGAACCAATGTTGAACCAATTATGAAGGATGACTGCATTGGATTCCTTTTTAATGTTATTATTACTTGTAACTCAAAAAATTTTATTTGCTGTTCACCATTAAGGAAGAACAAAAATATAGTACTGAGCATGCTATTACGAAGTCAGTCATTGAGAGAAAACTATGCTTCTTTAATTTTCTGCAGTATATTATATTCTTTTTTCTTTTTTTATTTTATTTTATTTTTTTTCAGACGGACTCTTGCTCTGTCACCCAGGCTGGAGTGCAATGGCCCCATCTCAGCTCACTGCAGCCTCCCCCTCCCGGGTTCAAGCAATTCTCCTTCATCAGCCTCCTGAGTAGCTGGGATTACAGGCATGTGCCACCATGCCCAGCTAATTTTTGTATTTTTAGTAGAGACGGGGTTTCACCATGTTGGCCAGGCTGGTCTCAAACCCCTGACCTCAGGTGATCTGCCCGCCTCAGCCTCCCAAAGTGCTGGGATTACAGGCATGAGCCACTGCGCCAGGCCAGTATATTATATTCTAATAAGCTGTTTCCTCTTTGTTCAAAGGCTTAGAAGACAAATAGTTGGCTAAAAGTTGCTCTAAAAACCACATTGATCTCGTTTTGCAAATCAACAGATATTCAAAAAATCAAATGGGTAAAATATTTTGAGACAGTTATTTAAAATTTTAAATTATTGAGGAAATGAAGAACACTGACATATGACAATCTTCCTTTATTTGCCTGACTCTGAGTACAAGATATTGTTTCCTCTGTCCTAAATCACATTGCCAGCCTTCACATAACAATCAGGATGCAATTTGCGAAAGAATCATAACCACTCAGTCACTTGGTAAGCAGCAAGCTTTCCAAGTTTCACCTCTAAGAGTTTAAACAGATTTGAGAAAGAACGCTGATGCTCAAGAGCATCCAGAAGCCACCATGATAATAATTAAATATGAAAGAAAATATATCATCACCATCAATAACAAAAATTGGGTACAAGTGGTTAGGAAGTAGAGCATATGCTAAAATAACAACAAAAACCCCAAAGCAAACAAGAAAAAAAGATCATTCCAAAGATTAGGGAAAGTGCTCTTCATCTTGTAGCCATAATGTCTTTGGCAGCAAAGCTTATAATCACAGATCAAAATATAATGTTGCTCATCAAGAATGCCAAAATGGGGACAAACTGTCTCTGAACACACAGGGGTTATTGGGAACCAAGCAGAAATGAAGCAGAAAATGTGGCCTGTTTCACATTCAAGACAGTAACTGAAGACAGCTTTTGTCTCATTTGCTTCACTTCCTCCTTTTAAAAGGGCAATTATTTGCTGGCACATTTATCTGTCACTTCAATTTAATAGCATCCTGCTAAAAGAGTTGATTATCTAATAATAAAATATGTATTAAAAATGGCCAATGTTGCTTTTATCACACTCCAAATTTCTCTCCCAAGTTTCAGAAAAGTCTTGTGAAATATGAAAATGGGAAGAAAATACCTTCTGTTTTGTTAACTGTCCAGTTACTTTGCTGGGCTGTGATTGGAGGTGTTACAGTCACGGCTGCCTCTTCAGTCAGTGCTGTCATTGCTGTATTAAGGGGGCAAAAGCATCTTTAACAGAGAGCCTCCTTCTATGTACAAGCAACAGATGGAAAGTATTCTTATTCTGTTTATTCCTATTTCTATTTTTTTTTAATTTATTTCAGTTGAAATCCATAATGTGACTAGGGCAACATCCTTAGAGTTTCTCATCCATTCCATTGACTATATTAGGCTTAGAGCAAATAAAAACCCAATTTTTAAGACCATTGATACATTTACATATTAATCCAAAAATAAGAACACTATAGTATAATAACTAAATGTATCAATCACTCTTCAATTGTATAAAGCAAACATTCTGGAGGTCTCAAAAAAGGTGTCAAAATATATTAGGAAAGAAACATACAGGACATAAGAAACTAAATTAAGCCACAGATTCATTACTCTGATCTTTGCCGTAAAGAACAACTATTAGAAGCCAACTTCTCTCTAATGCAGAGAAAATAAATTCTATTCACATTTTACACTGATATAAAGTTAACAAAACAAAAGGAAATTACCTACCGTTGAATAAAAGATAGACTGATATTGGAACTTCCAAAGCCATTTCCTGTAGTTGCTTAACTTTCCTTCTCTTATCCTTCTAGACTGACGAGTGGAAGGTTTTTATTGAGCTCTGAGTCTTTGTGGCATTTATATTTCATGAAGCGTCATCTGGCAGTTCTTACCAATCAAAAAAATATGTACTTCTGGCAGCAGCAGAAAGCCTCTGGGCGCTCACGCACTTGTTTAGGATACCTGTATTATCTAGCAATGCAATCAACTTTTCTTTTGAAACATTGGTTTCCTGTTACCTGTGGGCATAATCATGTATGTAAAAGTACTTAAAACAACAAGAACAAAATGTGATTTCAGGAAAGGCTCCAATTGGTGTGAAGAGAACTATACCAGCTCCAACAATGCTAGAAACCTATACGGGAGTTCAACAAACATAACTGCAAATTAGGAAGCAGCATAACCTGTTTCTAAAAGAAACATCCCTGAAACTGTAGTTGGTTATACCACCTTTTGTTACAGACTATGAGTTCTATTTCAAATCAAGATAACTTGTTAATTTAGTTGCAGGGAACAGTTACATTTGTGAAAACACGGACATTTCATATTCCATTTTAGTGTTTGTTTCTTAGTTTTACTATGATAAGTGCTGTAAATAAAATTATTTGTAATAGTGTAACATTCACCTTTCTGTCCTCCTGCTATTTAACATTTTTATGAGCAAATGAAATGGGCTACCATGTTCCAGAAACAACAATGCTTAAATCTGCATCCCAATGATTAAGCTGCAGAGAACAGTAAAGTACCAACATAATGATAATAGCAATAATAACAATATTAAAATTCTCCATTAAGAGAAAATTAAGATGACATTTAGTTTGGATACATCCAATGACTAGAAAGATTCTAAGTTAATACGACATTCAAATTATTTCTCAATGTTCATCTAGTTGTAATGATTAAAGTGGCACTTTAAAGGCCAAAATATGCCATTACAGCTACTATATTTTACAACTACAGAAATTTTCACTTGCCCCAAATTACTATAAATAATTTATAAATATATCTTCCTGAGGCATTGAGTCTTTCTGCCCGGAATTTCAATTGCTTGTATTTTCTTGAAATTTGAAACCTCAAAACCCTAAAAACATATTCAAGTCAAGATAGGTTATCTTCTGCATCATGTCCAGCCAGCAAATTAGATTTACCAGAAAGGAGGCCTTTCACTATTCGAATATAAATGTCGTGTTAGAAATCACACAAGAACAAGCTTGTTGAACTCATTATAACTTGGGCAATCACTTACCACAGGAGTCATCATGTTAAAGTTAAAATAATAGTACTTGACTCACTTTAAATGTGTCTACATTTTGCATTTCTACTTTTGTAGGTTTCTTAAAACCTGTTGATTACTAAGTCAATTTCTCGATAATATATTTCCCAGGCAAATAACATTTGAATTATAAATTGAACCATCTTCTTTGCACCATTGCTGAGTATTTAAGAAGAAATCATTTACAAAAGATTAAATAAACCATCACAATTCTTTTTGTAGTTTCTGGAGGGAGATGTTAGGACTCCCTCCTAGGGAGATGTTTAGTTCTTTTTTTCCTTTCTTTTTTATTTTTATTTATTTATTTGTTTTTTTTTGAGATGGAGTCTCACTCTGTTGCCCGGTCTGGAGTGCAGTGGCGCGATCTCGGCTCACTGCCAGCTCTGCCTGCCGAGTTCACGCCATTCTTCTGCTTCAGTCTCCTGAGTAGCTGGGACTACAGGTGCCCACCATCATGCCCCGATAATTTTTTGTATTTTTAGTAGAGACAGGGTTTCACCATGTTAGCCAGGATGGTCTCGATCTCCTGACCTTGTGATCCACCCACTTTGGTCTCCCAAAGTGCTGGGATTTAATACTTTATTTCTAAGACTGAGACACCAAGGTACAAAGATTATCTTTGTAAAAACTCTTAACTGTAGCTGGTGCAGTCCTTTGCACTTTACAGGTTTCCTCACACATCTCAATTCTTTCTTCAGTAACCCTGGCCCATACAAATCCAGTGCCTAACATCTAGTAAATACTTAATGAATCTGTCTTCAGAGAATAAGGAAATAAATAACAGGCATTATTTCTATTCTCACATGACAAATGACAAATTGAGGCTCAAAAGAATTAAGTGACTTGCCAAAGGACATTTCTAGAGTCAGGACTTCAATCCTGGCCAGGTGCAGTGGCTCATACCTGTAATCTCAGCACTTTCAGAGGCTGAGGGAGGAGGACTGCTTGAGCCCAGGAGTTTGAGACCAGCCTGGGCAACAGAGCAAGACCCTGACTCTACAAAAAATAAATTAGCTGGGCATGGTAGTCTGAGTTACTTGAGAGGCTCAGTAGGAGGATCACTTGAGCCTGGGAGGTCAAGGCTGCAATGAGCCATGATTATATCATGTCACCCCAGCCTGTGCTACAGACCCTGTCTCAAACAAAACAAAACAAAACAAACAAACAAAAAAAGGACTTCAATTCTATATTTTCACATTCTAAATCATATACTGTTTCCTAGCTGTGTCCTCTTTGAGTTGTTGAAGTGATCTCAAAAGAATTCCCTTAATTATCTCCTAAAATCAAGCTTTAAATAAATTACCTTTATTAGAAAAAAACTAAATATTTAATAAACTGTGATTTTCACTCACATCTGGGCTGAGAGATGGAACTGCAGCCTCTCTGATAAACTGGGCCACTTAATATAGAAACCCATCTTCTGCTTTAGTTTATGGTGTACACTAGAAAGTAACTCTAAGTCATCAAACATGTTGCCTTTCCTCTGGGGTCCGTACTCATGGCTCCCACTCACAGTCTTTACAGGAAAGTCCACTCCCTTCACGTCTTCAAACCTCTCACCCAAAAGTCCTTTCTCTAAATCCTAAAGAATACGGGAGATGGATACTGTAAGGTGGTTTTTCTGATATCTTTATTCATTCTTAATATGCATTAAAGTAGGTTAGGGTGAGAAAGGAGAAGGAAATGAAAGGCTAAGAGCTCCACTATTACTTTTCCCTCAGGCCATGTTTTCGGGTTTTTAAATGTACTTATCTTTCTTCTTCTAGAAGTTTATTTTAGAAGAGAGAATATCTGAAAGTTTATTCTTCCCTCCCCTTTCTATCTTTTTTTCCTTGCTGTTTCACTAACTCAACCAAAATTTATTGCTGGTCATTGGCAGAGAATGGTGATCAGTTCATTGATTCTCTCTCTAGGTATATTCTGTCACTTTCATGGATTCAGTTGCATTCATTCACAAAATATTGAATGACTACTATATCCATGGCACTGGGCTGGGTGAGATGATATTTGTAAGACAAATAGATAAATCATGCATAGATTTTGACTTCAAGGAACTAAAGGGATCTAGGCAAAGTACATACATAACTGCAGTACTGGGTAGAGAGTGACAACTGCCATGAATGTGTGCATAAAGGGCTCTGAGAACTAAGGGATGGCATTTTTCATGGACAAGTTTCATTTGAAGTGAATCTTAAGTAACAAGTAGGATTTAGACACCCAGTGATAAGAGAAAGGACTTGGGGTTGGGGGTGGGATCTGAGGGAAGGCAGAGTGGAGTAGTAAAAGGAGTGGCTTCTGACTCACATCATCCCAATAGATTTTGTTGTGAATTCAAATTCCACCTTTTCTATCTATTTGGCCTTGGCTGAGGCTTTTTAATAATCAGGAGGGTCAATAATTTTCTCATCTATTAAGTGGAGATTGTCAATAATGAGCAAAGACAAAAAAAAAAAAAAGGCACTTTGGGAGGCCAAGTCAGAAGAATCGCTTGATCCCAGGAGTTTGAGACCAGTTTAGGCAATACAGTGAGACCCCTCTCTACAAAAAATTAAAAACTTAGCTGGGCATGGTGGCACTCGCCTGCAGTCCCAGCTACTTGAGGTTGAGGTGGGAGGATTGCTTGAGCCTCAGAAATGGAGGCTGCAGTGAGCAGTGATCACACCACTGTACCCCAGCCTGGGAAACAGAGCGAGACCCTGTCAAAAAAAAAAAAAAAAAAAAAAAAAGAACAAAAGAGGAAAGTATTTAGCACATGCTAAGTGCTCAGTTAAGGATAGTTGTTACTACTGAGTAAGTGTAGAAAGACACACAGTGTGTATAATGGTCACCAAGGCCAGGAATTTAGTGTGACAGTATATGCGGACGAGTCCTAAATTCTTATCACTAACTATGAATTCTTAACCTCTTCCTAGACTGATACTACTTCAGAATTCTTATCTATGTATTATGTCATCACCTCAAACTTAACATATTTTAAACTGAACATATTATCATTACTCCAAAGTCAGCTCCCTTTCACAATTTCCTCATGTTAGTCAATGATAACAACTTCTGATCTCTAACTACAATTCTCGTAACTTGCTGAATACTGCCAAATTCTGATTTATCCACTCCTCTAATTTATTTTTGCATACTTATCCAGCTGTATCACTCTCCAAAACAAACCTTTCACTTTGTCTAATTGCAACTCTTGCTTTCATACATATATGCTAACTCATAATAATTTCTGTAACTTTATTATGTTCTTTAGGGTGCTCTTTACAGATACTTTACAGATACAGATGTGGTAGGAGAAGAAAACAATCTCTACGCTACTTCATAAGGCCGACATGTCTATCTTTCAAGGACATCAAATAACTATGAAGTTATGATTCCAATAAATTGACTTTACCTCTGTAATATGTTGACTCTGTCACCAAACCTTAGGTTCCTCTGAGCTCTCTCCCTGATCAGATCTTGATCTAGACCCATCGAGCCCAGTTTTAGCAAAGAATCCTGCTAAGTCAGTTTATAGAGAGTCCCTCACCCTTGCTATTTTATCTAGTTTCTGATCCCCTTCCCTTGATATCTAAGCATTTGGCCTGCTGTTACCAAGCATCCTGATAAGCCAGTTCAGTGAGAATCCCCCTGCCCTGAATATCTAAAGTTCCTCTTAGTAATTTTCCATCCACCAATCCCCTAGCTCTGCTCATTGGCTATAAATCCCTAGCTGTCCATGTTGTATTCAGAATTAGTTAGATCTCTTTCATCTACTGCAATGGTCTTCACATCTTCTTGACT